CGACAGGGCCACGCGCGAAGGGCGGGAAGAGGAAGGCGCCATGTTGGATCCCCTCAGGGGCTTCGATCGCCCAACCCAGCCGCGGCGCCGTCCGTAGAGGCACCATCGCGGTGCAGGAGCAGGTCTAGAGAAGCGAGCGGGTCTAGAGCGGAGCCAGGGAAGGGTCTGGAGAATAAGTATGGTGAGGAGCAGCTGAGGGACCTGGGGAGGCTGAGGGGAGAGCTACAACTCCCTGACAGGAGCTTGGAGTGAGGTTCCCACGTAACAGCAGTTGGAGAGGAGGAAATAGGCTCAAGTTGGTCCAGGGCAGGTATTTGGAAAAATTTCTTTACTGAAAGAGTGGTGAAGCACAGCAACAGGCTGCCCAGGGATGTGGAGTCACGATCCCAGGACGTGTTCAAGACACATGTAGTTGTGGCACTTCTGCGTTCCATCCTCATGTGTTGCCTGATCCAGTTGAGAGGCATCCCTGCCCATGACAGGGAGGTTGGATTAAAATGATCTCTAAGGTCCCTTCCAGCCTAGGCCATTTCATGATTCCCTGACTCATGATTCTCATGGTTTTAGTGGCTGGGGTGGTGTTCAGTCGACAGTTGGAACGGATAATTTGAGATGCCTTTTCCAACCTTAATGATTCTCTTCTATGATTCTATCCTCTATCTCCACCCACCCCAGCCTGCACAAGGACCAAGATGCCACCCTCCAGCTCCAGGCCCTCTGCCCCAGCAACCACGGCCCTCGGGTGGATGGAATCGCTTCCGCCAACATCGCAGCGGCGGTAACGCTACCTCCAACATGTTTAAAACCTACACTGAACCTTACTGCGACAACCAAGGCTCTGAGATTCTACCAGATTAAAGGAACGCGGAGTCCAGCCAAGTAAAGCAGGCAGGTGGAGTGTTTCAGGTATATTTTACTCTTCATTAGATTGTTCATTTGAATGTTCGTATTACAAAATTAGCTGCCAGGGCCCACAAACGCACGGGGCTTTAGGAAAGCTGTTCACTTACCCAAAAGAACACAAACCAGTATTGCCTTTCAAAGAACTTTGTGAAACAATACCACATTAATCTTTAAAGCTAAATAGTGCTAAAATTTCACATAATCTACATTAATTTTGGTTTTAAATAATTTTACCAACCATTATAAAATTAATGTATTTGCATGTATCAGGTTACAGACATTTGCATTTAAATCAGTGTGAAGTATCCCATGCTGGCACAAGTAGTTTAAGCAATTGCTGTCTCACAGCAGCTCATTCTTATTGCCTTAGAACCGAGTTCGCACAAAGTACTGAACAAGAAAATACAAGACCTTTTTTTCCCCACAAAACTTTAAAGTCTATCACAAGCAACAAAAAAATTCCTTCTAGGCAGGAAGCATTTATAAAATGCGAGTTCTCAGTTAGCAAAGTGCTTGCACAGGGGCACTCACTTCATTCTCCCCATTTATAGTCAAAAACCTGAAGTGATCCTTTACCAGATGAAGATGCTCTGAACCGTTTTTACTTGCTTGGGGAAATTGGCAATTGCAGATACTTCACTAAATCTAGTTTCTGGCCGAAGTGAACTGGGCAGCAACTGTTGGGATCGGGAGAAAAAGTTTTTGAGGCAAACTCATACAGTTAAAAATACTCAAGGAAAGGTCGTTGAAGCTGCTAACTCACCATGCACTCGCTCCTGAAGAAACACCACGCTGATGTTACAGCCTTCACTTTGTATTAAGCTGGCAGCATTTAAAACCACAAGTAGGAAACTGTTCACGTATTCCATTCCCTTCTCTCTAACCCATCTACATGTTTTACACACATGCCAGTCATGCCCACAGAGTGACCTAATAGTGTTTCAGTCCCTTGTTTGTAAAAAAAAAAAAGAAGTGAAAATAAAAATCACTGCTATTCTACTGGGCTTAAATCCCTGAAGAATCCATACTGTGTATGGAAGGCTCAAAGTTTTGTGCCTTTACGAGCTTGATGCAAAGAAATGCACAGTAAGTGTTTATTGTGCAGTTTTCCTCCCCTTAAGTTCTTCCCCCTTCCCTCCCAATAACTAAAACCAAAGTTTAAAACCAAAGCATGACTATGTTACCAGCACACGTAGACAGGTTTACAATCTTCTGTTTTTAAAGAACAAATGACAAAAAAAGCATTCAAGAATATTGCATTACCTTTTTTTTTTTTTAAACAGACAAATAGCAAAAATTTAGAACCACCTGGAATAAAACTGTTGAGACAAAGCTCTCTACGTACACCTGCATGTTGCTGTAATACTTAAAGAACACCAATGCAAGGAACTTTTCTCTTAATGGCTACGAGTGTTCAAAGAAGCGTAGAAGTATGGAGTTAAGAAGGCCTTTGTACCCTGTGAATTAAAATTCTGTAGGTGGCACCGAGACACTTCTCACAATGGAGTCACATAGCTTTCACTTTGATTTGCTTCATCTTCATCTGCTTCTTCTCAAGTTTCTTCTGCTCACGCCGCAAAGCAGCTTCCTGCAGGCAAGGACACGGAAATCAGAATGAACACTGGGGATCTCGAAGAGCAAGCCAATCATTTTGGAAGAGCCAAACCAAAAAGACCTCCAGACCTTGGGTTCACATCTCTTAACTATACGAGCTGGGGGACCCTTTGCACATTTCTAAAAGAACAGCACGTACCCTGAACGCTGCCTGCCTTCTGGCAAACAAGAAACCAAAATCGGCTGTTGCGGGTACACCGAGGGGCTGGAGAGAGCGTAGGAGAAATCTGCCCGTAGCTTGGAACAACCTGAAAATCCAGCTCACCTCCAGCCGACGCTGTTTCTCAGGATCCTCTTCATTCATGATCCTTTCCTTCTCTGCCCGTTTTTTCTCTTCTCGACGGGACTGGGCAGCCTCCTGTCTTTGCACGTGAGTCAGTTTAAGGAAGTTTTCTTCCACGCGAGCCCTGTTCTTGTCAGCTTTTTGTTTACCCTTTTCATGGCGAAAAGGAAAAGCAGTTAATACAGACTTCCCCACGAGTGGGATGCAGTTATCTCTGGTAGCTATTTTAGAAACATAAGGCTCCCAATTTTAAGGGTCCAATGATAATGGCTGCAATTTCACAGGATATTCAGAAGACAGAAAAATACCCACTACTTACTTCTCTGTTCAGACGGAACTTCTTTGCTTTGTCAATAGAGTAGATAACCATGCTCATCAGAGGCAGCAAAGACTCCATGTCCTTTGGGGAAGTGTTGCCTGAACCAGGCACTGAAATAGAGAGTTTCTTGTTAATTCAGAGGGTGGCAGGATTTTTCCACTTGCTCTAAAACTCTTATTGCCCACACCATTCATCAGAGAAGGATGTTCTTACCGCCCCCTTTAGGAAAGTCAACAAAGCTAAGTGCTGGGTCCTGGGCTTGGGTCACAACCACCCCAGGAAATGGCGCAGGCTTGGGCAAGAGCGGCTGGAAAGCTGCCCAGCAGAAAAGGACCCAGGGGTGCAGGCTGACAGCCGGCTGAACATATATTGTCTTCTATAAATGACTGAACTTGAGCATGTGACTTGCACAAATGAAGAACAACACTCCCCCAGAGAGACACAGACACACCTCTCGGTTCTCTTACCATTAAATGTAAACAAAAGTGTCTTTTTAGTTTCAGGCAGTTTTGTAAGCTGACCCTCCCTGGTAGGAAAGAAAAAGAGTGGCTGGAATGAGTGAAGAAAAACATGGGCGTACAAAATACCGAACATTAGGGAAAACCTCATCAAGAACAAAGAGATGCTTGCAAAGTACTTGAATAAAATAAACACAATTAAAAACCTGGCTGTAACCCTCATTTTCGTTTCAACCTATTCAGATTCCTGAAGCGTTCTACTCAAAAACATGCAGTGAAAAGGCATTAATGTAAAAACACGCTAAGGGCACCACCCAATCTGATTGTCAGCGGTCATCTGATGGCCTCTGATATCCGAGCCTTAAGAACGCCTGTATATTTTCAATTACATTTAGTTTTACATATGCACTGTTGTTTACACTACTGCAGACCTTCTATGAACATCAGTTAAGGGGAAAAAAAAAAGAATTCAAGTCTTCACTGCCCAAAACCCCACAGTATTCTGAAGCAAGAAAGTCAGCCCTACATTTCACAGAGCCTCCAAAGCCTACAGTTTCAGTAGAAAGGTGCACACACTGCTGTCCTCAAATCAAAGCACACTCCTTTTCTTGGAGGACAGTTTCCAGTTTTGATATGGATCATTTATTTATATGCCTGTGAGCATAACACACCCTCGCAAAAACCTACATGGCAATTCAGATAAATCACACACTGCTTGGCAGTTATGAAGCAGCAGCTAAAAAAAAAAGTCAAGCTGAGGAGGCTTAAATGAACAGAAGAAACAGAAGCGATATTGCCTCTGTGTATTTCTGAAACACAGCTGAGAACCCACCTGAACAAAAGAACCTAAGCAGTGGATTCAACAGCAGGACACCTCATCCCATCAGCTAAGAAAGTGAAGAAGTTATTTAAACCTGGTTCTCGGTGCATTCCAACAGCGTCTGAGTTAACACATCTCCTCCCGCAGTGTTGTTTCTTGGCCCTGAACTCTAGCACGCACCTTCAGTGGGATTACCCAGGTGTTTTCCGTGCAGCTGGGTACACTGGAGCTGCCCAGTGTTACCTGAGATTTAGTTACCCAAACTACAGCATAAGCAACACACAAAAATAAATATTAAGGCAATACAGCACCTTGGTCTTCTCAACTAATGCAGCATTTAGAAGCATTGGGAGTGTATTTATTCACCTGTTTCACCTTTGCTCCCAATTTCTCTTTGTGTGCATTCCAGCAGGCTTCACATTGCAAACAAGTCTGTCAGCCTCTATTTTGCTTAGTGTTACAACAGCTACCAGGAAGAGAGATCTAGTTTTATACCTACTCTTGCATAAGTTTTGGACCGGAGAACTGGTCCGAGAATTGGACAGACTCGATCTTGTCAGCGTAGTGCGTGAGGAAATGTATCATCTAAAAAGAGAAACTGGGATTAGTCTTTCCCAACAGCAGTCCATCTGCGTCCTGCCTACTCCCAGGATGGGTTTGCCAAAGTGTCCAGATTTCACTCAGAAAATTGCTGTGCTCAGCTTGCCACGATGACACTGAAATTTAAACTGTCAATTTTTTTAGCTTTTGCTAGAATGGGCCTCAACGCATGGAATTAATATGAGCAACTCAGACCTTAGATACCTAATTCTCATTTGGCATTTTCCAATTCATTTGGTAACATGTCAACTTTGAGGACCTGCAGACACCCCATCAGCATGCGAAGCGGCCACTGAAGCCAACTCCCAGGCTCTGAAACGCAATTTTAAGTCTGCAGTTACACTAACAGTTGCTATGTAAAAAGAATAAAGACGTGAGAATTACTTTCTTCTTCCAGCCCTTAAGCTTCCTTATGGTCTGGATTTTTCTAGGGCCATTTGGCTCTCCTGTTGTGATGTTTACAGGAGATAAAGATTAGAACTTTCTTGCATAGGCTGTAAATACCAGGGTTACCACGGAAGATTTGTACTAATTCATTTGCAATTACCTTAGCGTCCATCATTCCCTCCGTGACCTCCCCCATCTCCGACAAGATAGCCAGCGAATCTGGAAGCCCGTATTTTGCACCAGACTTAGGTTTATCACTGCAGAACTCACTCTGTTTCAAAAACAAAAAGGGGAAAGAATAAAACAAACACAACCTTGTCAGTATCTTATCAGACCAAACTATTCTAGCACTCTGGGATCCCTAAAAGTACCTGAAGAGAAACAATAAAAAATAGACTAACTCGTTCACTGTGGCTGGGGATGTTTCAAACACAAACTGAAGTGTACAGTATCAACAGTCTTCAAGTTATTACTTCTCTTCAATAGCTAGTACTTTAAGAAAAAGGATAAGACAATTCTAATATATCCATACCGGAATTCTCAGAGTGGGTTAAGGCATTTTGCTTACACTGTTCGATAACAGAACAAAACCAAGTGGCACCCTACCAACCCCCCGTTAGTGCTGTTACTTGAGACAACTGACGAGAGGGAAGACTTGCAGATCACTGCCTGCTATCACTGGATTCTTTGCAAGCTTTGGAGCTTGAACATGTGGAAAGTTTTAATTTCATGTTCTCATAAAAGCAGGTAGCTTAGACCTTAATTAATGATAAGTGATGTGGAAAGTTGAATTTACATTTCAACCCCTGGAAAAGCCATCTGTGCAAACTAAATGAGTGACAGTTTTGTATAGGCTGTATGCTTCAGCCTCCTCCTAAATGAACTAGACACCAAAAGGAAGGACATAAGCTGCTTTCGATGGCCTCTTTTCCAGCAGTTCTGACGGCAGCTGCCTGCTAATTCAGATGTTTGATGGCATCAGATTTCCATCCATTAAGATGAAAATGTCTCTTCCACACACAATAATTCCAACCGGTCAGTCACAGGTTTTCAGCTACTCTCAAGGAAATCAGCAATCCCCAGATTAGAGCTTCTTACATCCCCTTATTTATAATGTGAGTATTCCAGGCGTGAATGTACGTACCAGGTCCTGCATCTCCTTCTGAAGTCGCACCAGGGCTTTTCTTGTTCCGACAGCAAACACGTAGGTGTCCATATCTTCATCGTTCATTGTTACTTTTATTTGCTGTGGGACAGAATGTTATTATCCTCGATCAGATTTATCCAATGTACTCTAAGAGGCTGCTGATTTAAAGCGTCTCAGTGTGTCTTGAGGTAAGGCAGCTTTTTAATTCTATCGAGTACTCAATTCAGTAGTCTGGTATAATGCTGCTGTGTAATGACAGTGATTAAAACTGAGCAGAGCTGTAAGACTCGTTTGCAGTGCAGATACCCATTGTTTAGGAGCAACTGCCCACATCCAAATTACATATTTTTAATAGATATAAC